GGGGTAGCGCCTCATGGGGGTCCTCTGATCACGCGGGGTAGCGCCTCATGGGGGTCCTCTGATCACGAGGGGTAGCGCCTCATGGGGGTCCTCTGATCACGCGGGGTAGCGCATGCTGCTCTCAAATTTTGAGGTAAAGAAATAGGGTACGCCACACTACGCGGGTCCTCCACACCATCCCTGTCCCTACTGACGTTTCTGGGTCACTTCGTTTCTTTTTTAAGGGAGTCAGGGTGGGGGGTGGGTGGTTGCTGATGGGGTAAACAATCTAAATCGGGGCTGAACTTGTGTACGTCTAACTTAGTGTAAGTAATTTATGATCCCAGTAAGTGGCCCCATATCTTTTAGAACTAGTGTCAGTGCCACAGCCAGTTTGCCCCTGTAAAAATAGATTCGTATGACCGGCCCGCGCCACAGGTGAGATACACCGCTCTTCATTCCCCATTAAAATAACTCCATGAATTTTATGGTACAAAACTGTAGCTAAATGAAAAGGATTGTAAAAAAAAAAAAAAAAAAAAAAAAAAATATAGTGGGGTGGGAAAAGAAGAAAAAAAAAAAAAAAAAAAAAAAAAGAATTATTGATGTTATGCATATGGAGTTAATTAGACAATGAGAAAACTGGTATTTATTTAAAGGTCACGATGTAAAGCGTTCAGGTGTGGGGAGAGTTAGCATATTTGTATTTTTACTGGGATTTATTTCTTGCAGCTGTAGTTAAACTCGTAAACTACAGGAGCATATTCCCGAAATCAAGCCAACTTGGCTGCTGTCTTCCAACTTCTGTGGTTGAGGGTTTTTAATTTTTTTTTACTCAGAGAGTTTACCTCATCCCATTACAGCAGAAAGAAAGAACAGAATGCAGTCCGCCCTGGGAGGCATTTTTAGGAAAGGGGGCAGCAATTTGGGTCAACTGCAAAGAAAAGAACAAAAAAATATGGATATATTTCTGACGCTAGACGCCTGGCAACATTTATCCCCCCCCCCCCAACCGCAACCAAAATGCTACAGAAAATTTCACCAAGACATGACATATTCGTGGGCTGTATGTAGTTCAAACCCCATCAATATAAGTCTCATTAAGACAAAGCAAGAAAAAAAAATCCTACCTCGGGAAGATGATGGGCCTCGCTATAATCTAATACATTCCAAGATGGTGGTTACTTGACCAACGAATGAAATAATAATTGCATCGTGACGGGAAAACGAGGTAGAGCCCCGAAGACAGTATGGGCTTTGTGGGCCACCTGACCCGCTCTGAGCTGCATCGAACCCACAGGGCTCATCCTCGGCATTGAGAGGGGTGATCTGCATTGAGAGGGGTGATCTGCATTGAGAGGGGTGATCTGCATTGAGAGAGGTGATCTGCATTGAGAGAGGTGATCTGCATGGTGTCTGTAAACTGATGATTCTCCATGAAAAATCATACCGCAAATCCCTAGACTTTGTAACATCGAAACAACTTTCTCCCTTGATTCAGTAGTGATATCAGTTGGTCCGCGGAAGCAAAAAGCGTCTTGTATGATTCTGCTGTTAGTTGCACAAAAAAAAAATTTTAAATTTTAAAAATCGATTAAAAAAAATTAATTAAAATTAAAACAACATTAGTTTAAGAAAACTAATCATTTGAAGACTAAGTAACTGTCAACTAAACAATGAAAATGGAAACTAACCAAACAAATTAATATGAAAACTAAAGCTACTAATTGAAATAAATGCTACAACTACAAGTAAATATAAAAAAAAAAACAACCAAAAAAACAATGATTATGCAACTTACTTCTCTGAATATTTTTTAAAAAAAAATGGTGAGCATAACTTTTGATGCCTACGTCAATGAAAAGAAATCAGCCCATACCAAACCCCAGGAGATAACATTGGCCATCGCGCCTATGGTTGGCGATTCCATCCCGTTATTGGGCTGTTAAATAAGAATATATTACGTCTTCTTAAGGCAATCCCAAAAATAATACTTGGAATTTCTTTTAAATTGCTTTGGCGGAAAGTTAAGCGGAGCAAAGTTCAGCTTTAAAGGAATACAAAATACGTGAATTAATTGGTTTAAAAATATCTAAAATATTACGGAGAAAACGAAATCTTAAAAAAAAATGAACTAACAACACAACGGATGTATCGGTGGAAAAAAAAAGACCAAAAAACTAAAACTACGACAGCGTATTTCTGTTAGAATTTCGAGTCCAACTTCATAATATCCTTTTTACGGCAGCCAGTAGCTTGCTCGCTCTAAGGGCGATTCTTAATATTACATTCACATTTTTTCCCCCAATATTATTTCAAATTTAGTCACATTTGCTTATTCAAAAGAGGTTAAATATTAATTATATATGAAGGAATGCGTTCCAACTGTGTGAATTGAATAGCAGAAACAAGGTAAACTGTAACAGGTTATTGGAAGTTATTGTATAAACTGGAATCTTATAGAACGATCTTCTAACATGACTAACTTCGAAATAAAATTTAAAAATATTAAAAAATAAATTAAAAAAAAAAACAAAGAAAAAGTTTTATAAACTCCTTGTCTATCTTAATACTAGTTAATATGACGTCATCAACTTTTCTACGCTTGAAATATTTGATCTTCTCGCCGGGTCAGTTCCTGAGAAAACTACAAGGCTGAAATTCGGAACACAGCCCAGCAGAGGCGTAGCGAGGGTGTTTGGCGCCCGGGGACAAGAAACATTTTAAAGCGCCCCCTTTTCGTTTTTTCAACTCTCAAACCCATTATTTTTACCAATAATTTAATATCAAAGCACATTTTGGCGCCCCTACCTAGCTTGTGCCCGGGGACATCTGTCCCTCCTGCCCCCCCCCTCACTACGCCTCTGCAGCCCAGATCACAAGGGGAACATTTTAATCTTATAAAGTTTGACGGATCTTCGGTTGAGCCATCTCGAAATAATTGTATTTGTTAAAAATTATACGTCTAGGTCAAAATATACCTATTGTCATAGGATGTCATTATAATTTATAATACAACAGGGAACAGGACAATTTGAAAAAAAAAGAAGAAATATATACATCACCAAATGCTGTGTAGTCGGCATCTATCGTACATTAAATTATTTTATCATCAAATGATTAGTTACTTTATTTCATGTTTCTGTATTTAAATGTGTCTTCTTTAATACTACCCATGAATTAAAGTAAACATATATTTGCTTGTGATTTATTCTTCGAGCATTATTAAAAAAATGGGGATGACAAGTTATCGTATAAAAGAGTTATCAAGAAATAAGATCATCTTTGAAATTTTACCCTGGAAACCGCGCCCCCCCCCCCAAACACACACCGCCCCAAGGGTACACGCAGCAAAATCTGGGGATCACTGCGTAGCTAGGCATAAACATATATAAAAAAAAAACCTGCAAAGGTATAAAAGTACACTTCGTATAATTTTTTTCTTAGTTTCCTTGTGTGAGAAGTGGGGGGAGAGATGTACGCGTTTTGAAGTGTCATTACGGTTGTTTTGTTGGTGCTGGCAGTTCGTGTGGATTGCCAGGTCGAAGTTAGTGCCCGAGTTGAGTGCGACAATATATCTGTCGTGGTGTAAAACAAATCTTCAAGGGGGCGAGGAAATAAAAAAAACGGATAAAACTCAAAAGGTAAAACTCTTACAGTGTGAATAAGTTTCATACGGGCCGTGAGACGCACGTTTATATCATATTTTGTAACACACGAGGAGTGAGTACCAGTTTTAAATACAATATTTTTTCTTTTGCAGACGACGTGTGCAGTACATGTGTGTTGCGGGTATCGTGTTAAGTGCAGCTCAGTAAGTCACTTCTGGATGAAAGGGATTGAATATAATTACAGACATGAGTGGAAGTATGACGCTGGAGGTATAGTTGGGGGGGGAGGGGGGGGAGAAGCTTAGGTGCCAGAGCTATGACCGATGGGACATATCTTTCTCACGAACTCGACTCTATAATCAACGTAACATATAAGCTTTTTATTTTCGTCAAATACGTCTCTGAACTAATGTCAAGCCATTTTTCTGAAATAGATACTCATGGGATATAATTTAAACTAGTTGAGATTTGTTGGTAGAAAAAAAAATGCCGATTCCCCACTCCCACCAAATGTCTCTATTTTTTTTTTTTTTTTTTAGAATCCCCAACTGTGTCATAGTTCCAAGACAACTAAAATTTAAAGCATTGGCGGAGATCCCGGTGAACGAAATCTGTTTTACCCTGGCGAAGACTCAGGGTAATGAATATGTTTTAAACATGAGAGAAGACGAAGTGACTGGAATAAATGATGCGAAATTAGCAAAGCTATAATAGCCAGCAACATGCAATGATCTGGATATTTTTTTTAAAATAACAGCTTTTCAAGATGCCCCACACCCCTTTACACATCCTCCCTCCCCCCACGATTTTGCCTGACTTTTAATACCGTTACTAAATCCCCCAGAGTAGGTCTGGAAAATTTGTATTTAAAAAAAAACAACAAACTGTTAAAGCATCCAGCGAAATATGTTTTAGAAAAGTTCAATAAATACAATTAACAAATCTTGATATCAGGCTTTGACAAATGAAAGAAAGAAAAATAAAAAAAAAACAACAGCAACAAAAAACATTTTTTTAAGGTTTGCTCTTTTGATTAATAATTCAGTTTCTGCCGGATAATATATTTAGATGTTTGCTTCTGTCATTAAGTGAAATTTTAAATTATTGTTTTGGGCTACATAATTGTTTTTGACGTAATTTTTCTGAATTGTCGTATATTTGAATACTTCAGTTTCAGAAGTAATGAGCATTTCGATCTCGTGACATCAAGTTTGATGTTTGTTTTAAATTTGGAATCGACATTTAAAAAATAAAATATATATATTTTCTTTGGCATCCGCTAAAGAGGCTAGTCGTTTTTTGTTCTGGGCGAGAGGTGATTCGGCACCAGTCGCCTTGAAGAGATTGGGTTAGATAAAATTTTTCCATGATGAAATTAGATTGGGTGATTTGTTCCTAGGTGAACTGAGATGAGGTGTTTGTCTCTTTGGTGACAATGTACATGTCTGCTTCGCTGGTGCAACAAGTTGAGATTGTTGTGTTTTTGTTGATATGATATTCAATTTTCGTCCCTTTGGGGACATCCTAGTTCTAAAGGTTTGTCTCTCCGTAGAGCAAAGGTCGAATGGTCTTCTACCTGGTGAAATGAGATGGGATGTCTGTTCAACTGGTAAACAATGATTAGACGTTTGTAACTTGGATAACTTCGTATACGATTTTTGTCGAATTGGGGTCATAATGCACTTTTTGCTCCCATCAGGGAACCCATGACTGAATGTTTGCTCAACTGGTAAATAAATATTTGATGTTTGTATCTTGGGTGAAACCAAGCAAAAATTGTGTGCCTCTGATTTCGCATTAGATGGTTGTTTCCCTGGCGGGCAGAGATTGGATGTTTGTATAACGGGTAAAATAAGATGACATGCTTCGACCGTGGGTGACGTGGTGCAAGGTGACTGCTCTGTTGGCGTCGTTAAGCATTTGGTTCTTTCCGGAGAACAAAGAACGGCCATCGCTCTGTCCGGCGAAATGAGATTTGGTTTTCGTCTCTTCGGCGACAGCAGAGCAGAATTTTGGTTGCACGCTGGATCAGGATTAGGGTCTTGCTCTTTCGGTGATCCCCTATTCAGTTGGCTCCCCCCTGGCGCGATATGATTGGACAGTTTTACCTTTGGTGTAATGATATTAGTTGTCTGTGTCGTCTCCGGTGAAACAAATGTAAGCACTTTCCTTTTGGGCGCAATGGGGTCAGTGGTTTGCTTTACTAGAGACATTGTACACGATCTATTCTTGAATACAAAAAAAAAAAAAAAATTAAAAAATTAAAAATATAATCTGGTTTGACGTTCGTTTTAAATATCTCACAGCATTTCTGATCGATCGGTGCAGCCCTCTTTGAGTTTTAGTGATACCAGTCAAGAAAATCCTCTTTCTACAGACACGATTTTAAATAAATGTTTCCAGTGGCTCCAGTGACATGTTTGCGTTTCCGGTGACGAGTAGCTTTGATGCGTTTCATCTGGAGGGGCCAGAGCACCGAACACGCGTGCACGTTCATTGTTAGGGGGGAACAAAAACAAAACGGAGCTACCACAACATCCACCCGAGGCTTCAACGTGACAGTGATGACATTGCTGAAATGGGAATAAGAAATACAAGATAGATCGTGACATCATTTATTCATTTATCAATAGCTGTTCTATTCAATTCTCTTCTTGTGAGGTGCGTTGAGGACGCTTTCATCTGCTAAGGAAAAGTAATCTTTAAAAAAAATAAAACAAAATAATATAAAAACCCACAACCTTTATTTCCCAAACCATTCATTGTTTTTTTTTTTTAATTTTCAAGATGTGTTTCTAAAAGCTGAAAATAGATCAAATGACTCTTTGCTTACTTAGCCCCTTATTTTTTTTCATAAAAATATATTAAAAAAAAAAAAAACAACGATAATTCCAATGTAAAAGCTTAGATTGAATTTGACTTGAGTGCTTTTTGTTTTGGTCGTCTTTTTAGTTCTCCGTGTTTTTTTTAAAACTTCTTTGTAAAGGGAGGCTAGTCATCAAACCCGCGGTGCCTGTAAAGGTGAGTTAATCTCGGACTTTAAACAAATGAATAGACGAATGTGAAGGTTTGGCGTAAGATTTCTTGATTTCCGGCATTCCCCCCTGCTCTCTCTCTCTCTCTCTCTCTCCCCCCCCCTCCCACTTAAAAAAAACAATAAACCCTTGCGCTATGGACACAACTTTTAAAACGAAACCATTTTTGTGTGTGTTCTTCTGTTAAGGTAAGGATCATCGCTATAGGACGGCGCCCACCTCCATGAATTCACGTGTATAATGCCCAAGCAGAAATTTGAGTTTAAAGATATCAATAACTTCGAAAGCAGTGACGCAGACATGCACGCGAGCAGAAGCGGATGTTACGTCAGCTCCCTTGTTGGATTCGTCCTGGTACTTTTGGTAGCCGCCATCGCTGTTGGAGTGGGCATCATAGTTCACTTTGCCGGCGGTAACAGGGAGGTCATATGCAAATGTGAGCCGGTATCAACGGGTGACGCTACAGCCGAGGCTGTCATGCAACAATGCACGGACATGGCCAGTGCAGGAAATGAAGAAATCTGTGAGTAATATACATATCTGTACATCTTTATTAAATTAATCCCATAGGCTATTTAGGAGAATTCTATGAACTTTTATATTACGAATATTGGATATGATAGCGCAGGAAGGGATGGGGTTAGAGGGTTGGGGTGGGGTAGCTATTCGTGATGGACATTTTGGTGGTGACATTTTCAGCCCTACTGCAATGTGGAGATTTATTTTTCTAGAGATTTCAACGGACCAATAAAGACGCAAACCTAATTATATTTTTTATGCATCACTAGTTTTTACTATATAACTGTATTTCGACCATGACCATTATAATTATAATCATCGCATTCGTGCTAGTTCTGAAATTGGTTGTGGGTGCGCAGATGGCTGATGAGACCGCGACTCTGGTACGAAATGTTCTTGTGCAGTAAGTGCAGGGGATTGATGGGACAGTTCCAGGATGCAGAAATGTACCGCGGTCTTTTCTGGCATGTCTGTTGTGTGCTGTAGCGCCGCTGTTCAGTTGGATCCGTGTTTTACCAACCAGTTATCTGTCACCCCTTTTATTCAAAAAACAACTTGAGTAAAAAAAAAAAAAGTAGTATAGGAGAATTAAAAACAAACCAAACACTCACAAGCAGGTTAAACTATCGACGGCCCAGAACATTTACAAGTGTGGCTCAACTAAAAAAAAAGGTGACGGTCTAAAGAAACTTGGAGGGCCATAGGTTGTTTGACTTTTAGCAAACCATGTGTTCATCAAGCCATTGCCACGGCCACACCATAGGTTGTTTGACTTTTAGCAAACCATGTGTTCATCAAGCCATTGCCACGGCCACATTGGCAAACAATGTTCAAATATCTAATATAGTTGGAGTATACATATTTCTTGTAAAGTATCAATGGATGCTGCCAAATTTCAACAGAGGGCTGATTTTTGGAGCGATTTCGGGGGTCATTGCAAGTAAATCGATGCCACCAGCTTCAAAATAACGCTTATTGGGACCAAACCAATATGACTCATTCAGGGACTATTTTAAAATGTAATTGGTTCATCCATTAGCAGTTGAAATGCCCTAGTGAATTAAAAAAAAAATAACTGTAATTTTGGACTTCAAACTTGTTAATAGACTTATCAGTGAGGTTTTAAATAAAATGTTCTTGTAAAATCCAAAGTCAACCCTTTCAGCATTTTCCACATAATATCACAATTTTGACAAGTTTTAAAAAAAAAATTAATAAATTATGTTCTTCAAAAATTTGCAAACTTGGAAGTTTATCTATGTTTTGAAATGACGAAAGATTTTGGTTTGATCATATATAAACTTTCCATTACCTTGTATTTTCCCGTTGAGATTATTAAGGTATCACTGCCAGTTTTCTGAGTAAATTGTCAGCATCTGATTATTGACAGAGATTTTGATGAAGTGTACCGTACAACGATCCAGAACTTTTTCTTGACTAAACCCAAAGATTTAAAAAAAACATTTTTTTTTTGTTTAAACAATGAAGTACTGGTACTCACATCTTGTCAATATTTTAGGGGTCGTCCATTATGACATCATGCATCGGGGTGGGGGGGGTCACGACCTACTATGCTGGCATCGCAGTTTATTGTATGCAAATATACACCTGATAGAGTTTATATGGAAAATAAATTAATAATATTTGGTATGTTGACTCCATACGGTATAAAACAAATTCACAATTATACATAGCTACAATGTTGTTTTTTGTTGTTGTTTTTTTAAATTTTTTACATCCATCCATTTCCTTTCTATTCTTCAGGGCTATGTTGTTATTATTAGGGACTTTTGCCCATTCTTATTCTCTTCCTTCAATTTAGGTAGCATAATATATGTATATATATATATATTTAGGAATTTGCCAATTATGTGAATATTCTAATAGCAAAAGCGTTTGCTCAAAAAGCTTAATGTCTTTCCCCATTTTTTTTTTTACTTGATCCTCGTCTGTGCCCCACCCCCACACATCTCTATCACATGCTGGTAAGAGTCATTACAAACGTGACACTCGGGGCGGTCACTCCCTTCAATCACGATCAGGAGGAATCGCGAATGTTTTGTACGAGTCACTAAAAATGCTAGCAAAAGCTTATTTATAGAGTTTAACCCATAATTATAACCTAAACCATGCTCCCAAAACACTTATGTTCCATTTAAAAGTTTGCGTGTCGTTTACAGTGAAAGAAAGGGTTCTCCAGGCAAATGGGGAGTACGATGACCTACTGGTGACTGTGAAAAAACGCAAACTACAATGGTACGGCCACGTAACAAGGAAACAAGGGCTTGCCAAAGAAATATTGCAGGGCACCACAAGATGAGGGAGAAGAAGAGGAAGACAAAGAAGAAGATGGGAGGATAACATCAAGGAGTGGACAGGACTAACACTGGGCGATGTGTGCGTAGTGCAGAAGACAGAGACGAATGGAGGAGGATAGTTCACATGTCATCTGTGGCGCCCCAACGGTCCAAGGACTAAGGGACATGATGATAATGATGATGATGATGTTGCTACGTAGTTGGTATTGTGACGCTTTCTGGGTGTGAGGTGCTCAAACTTTGAGCAAGGCAAAGCGGGAAAACCTAACGTCAAACTGAATATAGCACGACATTCTTGAGAGAAAGAGTAAATAATGCGCAACCCCGGGAGAAACAACGCCGCCACTGCCACAGGAGAAGTTGCTGCCGTTTTTCAAAGTGCAGATAGCGCATCCCGAGAAAAGCGGACATTTATCTAATCATGAGTAGACTCTGTGACCCAATGTGCTACCCCTTTCTTTTTCCGTATGGGGATTCAGGGTGGTCCCAGAGGCGTAGCGAGGGGGGCAGGGGGTCAAATGTCCCAGGGCGCCAGCTAGTTAGGGGTGCCAAAATGTGCTTTGATATTCTATTATTGGTAAAAATAATGGGTTTGAGAGTTGAAAAAAAGAAAAGGGGGCGCTTTAAAATTGATCTTGTCCCCGGGCGCGAATCTTGTCCCCGGGCGCAAAACACCCTCGCTACGCCTCTGGGTGGATCAAAGATCTAAAGAAAGCTTTTGTTCAAGGGAATGTGTCCCAGCTGCAATGGTATCCAAACAATTTTTCTATCCATGATGGAAACTTTAACCAGTTCCTTAAGCTGAAGACTATAGGCCTACTATGAATAATATGATGTTCTTGGCCGATTTGTGGTAACACCCAAAATTCGGACGTTAATACATTGCCTGGAAAGAAAGATATATTGCCTTCAACCTGAACAAGGATTCCAAGAAATATAACTAAAAATTACCATATGGCCATGGTCAAGAAATATGGCAAACCTGACTTATTTGTAACATTCACGTTTAATCCTAAATGGAATGAAATCAGGGAAAACTAACTTCCCGGCCAACACTCATGCCATCGGCCATATTTTAGTAGCAAGTGTTTGAGTTGAAAATGAAATAATTCTTGAAGTGAAAGTATTAAATGTAAGTAGTTTATCTGAATGTGAGATATTGTGTAAAAGGAGATTGAGATTTTTTAAATCAACAATTACCAATCAGCTCAATATAAGGCCTACTATTTACTTATTATTAATTTGTAGGCACATTTATTGGGATATCATGGAAGCGAATTATTTCTATTACGTGTCATAATTGCGAAATTAAATTAAAATTTATGTGTATAGTTATTTTATGTTATCCTTTAAAAAAATGGCTCAAACAATAGTCTTCAACTTAAATAACTTAAATTCAATCCCAATTATATACTTAGAAACATTCTTTAAATGACACCAATTGCGTGTTCATCTAATATGACGATATTTTTTTCATGACAATGACAGGGAAACTTAACACTCAACATCTATCAGAATATTTTTTAAACGAACACAAGACAAAAACTCTTTTGAAAATGAAGTCGTAAATAGTATAAAGAGAAAATTTAACAGGTGAAGCAATCCAGTACTGCCATTTACCTTTGGGTATTTCTACGATTTCTTCCCATTTAGATTATTGCTGACACATTTATGTTCTACTTTCATAGCGGTGCTGGGACAAAATTAACCTCACAACTTTTCTGCCTGACACATTTATCAGGGAATAATAATATTGGTGATAACCCACTATTCACCGAGAGTGCAAACTATAATTATATCAGCTTCATGGTGGTAAAAAGATCAAGTAATCAAGATAGGCCTACAGTTGCAGAAAAAAGAAGGCACATTCCCTTCTTGGTTTAAATTGTTATATTCTCAGATAAGATATACTTTTTTTTTTTCAATTTGAAGGAGACTAGACCCAGCACTTGCAGTGAACAGATACCACCATGACATGCCAATGATTTACCAATTTTTAAAATTTCTTATAAATGTTAACTTAAAGGAAAAGGAGCGTTTTTTAAATGAAAAAAACTAAAATATGAGGAGTTGTCAGAGTAGCGTCAGTGAGCCTCAGTCAGTAGGGTAGGCCTACAGTTACAGCATAATCATAATGGCATATCTGACTTCTTCTAGTCTAGTTACTATTACTGTGAATTTGATATCATTTTATGATGAAAATATCATGTATTTAAAAATACTCTTAACAAAGTCATTCAAATCTAGGGCCAACATTTATTTTTTGTAACTAGTAGTACATAAAAAAAAAAAAAGATTAGCCCTAGATTTTAATTTGCAATGTAAACTATGTATATTAAAAATAATTATTAAATAAGTGGCCAAAAATGTTATAAAAAAAAATATGTTTGACACCTTTTGCGACAGGTCTGAAGTGTCCAACTTCCTCTAGTACACACAACACAATTACGCAAACTGGTTCACCTGGCTGTGGCAATGTATCAACAACTGACCTTCCATCCCCAACATCTACTACAAGCATCGCCGTACAAACAAGTACCCCAGCTCAAACAAGCACCCCAGCACAAACAAGCACCCCAGCAACAACACTTCCTAAAGATGTTCGACTTCCAACATCAGTGCTACCCATTCACTATGAAGTTGAGATTCACCTCTACATGAGTGGCTCTAATGCTACTAACTTTATGTTTAAGGTAACTTGAGTTGTAATATGAAAACAAAATTATTTATCTTCTTTTATGTAGCCCTCCTACCCTTTTTTTTAAAAATAGTAGAAATATAGGTATATTTTAAAGTGATATTACTAATCACATTTAAAGTGAAAAGCTAAGAAACCTTTATCATTATGAATTGTTTAATACTTTGTTACCTGCAGAAAACACATAAAGAGTTTTTCATTTTTCACATATTAAATGTCAATTACCATTCATACATTTTCTAATGAGCATTCAATATTTTTCTTCCTGAAGGGCCATATCAAAATTCATATAAGTTGTGTTAATGCTACAAATAACATTACACTGCATGTCAATGTTCTTAAAGTGGAAACACAAACTATTCGATTCCGTGGAGAATCTGGCACCGGGTCAGTTCCCGCATACACAGAAACAGAGGAAGATAAGGACAGGCAGTTTTTTATCATCAAGCTTGATAGGGATATGGAGGTGAGAAGATTTATATTTATAAGTTGGAAGGTAGTGGTTCCATAAGTAAACAAAAAATGCTGCCTATTGGTTGATAGAACTAGATTGCTGCTGTTAATTGTAAGAGTGGATAGCCATTTAATTTATCAATTAGTAATACAGTGATACAATTTTAATGAAATAAAAATAGAATTTATAAGAAATCTTGTCCTTAGAAAAGCTGTTCTCATCAGCTGTTACTTATAAGAGTTTCTACTCTTAATTTGGGTAACTATTACACTAAAACCTAAAGTGATAATTAATGAAAGACAGTTGTGTAGCTTGGCCAATATTTATATAAAGAAAAAAGTGACGACCCCTCCACCCTCATCCTCACCTTTCTAAGGCCACCTGTGAAATGGTATAGAAACCATTTCATTCTTATTTTAATATTTGAATCTAAATGTATCTATTATATTTTTATACTAATGTTTTATCAGAATGGTCAGTAAACTAAAAATTAATTTAAGAACATGCAGAGACTATATTTTGTCAGCTTACCTCTAATTTTGTAAATGTTATCTACTACTTGAATTTCCTTTCAATTTATCTTGCATATTTTTAGGATGCCAGTCTACAAACAATCTAAAGTTCATAAATTTTTTTTTTAAAATTCACAAAGGCTGGAAAAACTTATACATTGGAGATGAACTACACATCTCCTCTGCAGAGCAAAGATCTGAATGGATTGTACCTCACAAGCTATAATAGAAATGGACAACCAGTGTATGGTTTTTAATAGACTACCCCAAGTTGTCAGTCATTATAGTTCTATTTGTTTACTCTTTTATTAACAGTTTCAAATAACTGATTTAAAAATTAGCAAAAGAAATTGGATACATTTTTTGTATAATATAAAGATAAATATCAATGTCTGAACTGATTTTTGTATTTAAAAAAAAAAAAGAAGAAGCTTTTTGAAAATAGTTTATGTTTAAAACTAAAATTGAAATTTTGAGATATACACCAGAAAAAACTTATATTACTATTTGTGCAGCTCTTCAATAAAGAGTGTTTTTGAAATTCATTAATATGTAAAACTTAAACTGCAAGAGTTTAACATAAAAACATATTTGAATTATCTTGCTGCTATTAATTTTGGAGATTTTTAAATACATATGTTCGATCTATATTGTATTTGTAAATATCTATAAATTCAGGTACCTGGCAGTTACTCAGTTCCAAGCAACAGATGCTAGGAAAGCCTTCCCATGTTTTGATGAACCATCTTTCAAGGCAACGTTTGATATCACCCTCATCCGTCCAGAAAATCTGATATCCATCGCCAATATGCCCCAGAAAGAAAACACAACTACAATGTAAGCCAAGTTCAAGGGAGAATGAATATTATTATTTTTTTAAAATTAAAAACTGGCAATAGCCTGGTCTCCTAAAGAACACTCTACACTGATCTTTACGAGGCTGGTGTAAGAGCTCCACTTAGGGAAAAAGACTTACTATTACTTGCACAGTAGAAATAAATTTATGGAAGTTGGTTTGATAATGTGTTAAGATGCAAATAATTCTTGCTCCCTGATCTGCTAGCCACCCTTAGCACATATAATTATCACACAGGGCTTATGTTTATCATCTCACATCTGTCATGCGCTCAACTCCACTGTGTTGTTTTAAAATGAAACCCAATAATGTAGTAAAAAAATAAGTAATAAGTAACACCACAGAGTGTACCTTCAATACTGAGAACATTCATTGGTACTTGTTGTATTATTCTTTTTCTTATGAAATCTGTTTCTTATATGTTTATGTTGGTTTATCATACCAATTTGGTTGTCAACAACTTTTTTGGTTGAGATTTTTTTTAACTTGGGGATTTACCTCCTCTCCAAGAATGCCTGATGACAAATTACTCCATTGGGATTGTGTTTTTGTATTAAACGATTTTTTACTGGGTGCCAACAAACATTAACTTATAAATTTTTAATTTGTGTCTTCTTTGCTCAAAGAAATGAAGAAGGAGTAACTTATGTCAAGGATGTTTACCAGAGAACCCCCAGGATGTCTACATATCTGGTTGCATTTGCAGTGTCTGATTTCAAGTACACCTACAACACCACAAAAAATGGAGTCCTGGTAAGTGCTGAGGAAATGCTGGACAATCAAGTGTGACAAATGGTTAAATTAACAGGTTTCCAACACAAAGTCTGCTCTGAAATCCTGTTCTGTGACCTTTTTGAACATTTTGAAATTATAATTAGGAAATATAGAAAGGCCCTCTCCCAATCAGAAAAACAAAATAACACTTTTTATATCATGGAAAAAAACCAAAAACAATTAAAGCAATTACTTAAAAAACTATCATAAATATAAAGAAAGTAATTAAAATAAATTATAAGGAATAATGAAACTTGTGGGATTTACACTGTTCCACAACATTTACATTTAAAACTAAGTTTATTCATGTTAAGCATATAAATCTGCTACTTTATTTTAACACAGCATCTTTTCTCTTTGTTTTTTTTGGTATATCCATTAACATGTTATAATTGCTCCAATTTTCACTCTAAAACAATCATTGAACATAGTGAGATATCTGCGTCTTGAAAAGTGATTCACTTGAAATAATTAAAGCATGCTGCTCTCACTTGTTTTCTTAGTACCGAGCCTGGGCCTCACCAGAGTCAGTCAACTACACAAAATATTCCCTGGATGTGGGTGTGGAAATTCTCACTTACTTTGAGGAGTTCTTTAATATTTCTTATCCTCTTCCAAAACAAGGTAGGCCTTAGAACAGTGGTTCTCAACCTTTCTAGTGCCGCGACCCCTTAATACAGTTTCTCGTGTCGTGGCGACCCCCAGCCACACAATTATTTTCATTGCTACTTCATAGCTGTAAGAATATATATTTTCAGATGGTCTTAGGCGACCCCTGGAAAAGGGTCCCGCGACCCCCAAAAGGGTCGCGACCCACAGGTTGAGAACCGCTGCCTTAGAACATTAAAATAATTAAACAAGGTATGTTGAAGCTTGAATCAAAAGAGAGGACAATAAAATATGAACGTTTCGGCTTAGAGCCATCTTCAGCGAACAGGACAAATAGAAGTACGGCTTTAAACAGAGCACAGTAAAAACTTTTGAGATCTTCTTCATTCATTCTTTAGAACATTAAGAGCTGGAAATGTATTAAAATGAAACCAAAAGAAAAAACCTTTAGATTTATAAATATGGTTAAATTTAGCAATTGTGTTTTTTTTAAAAAGACCTTTCTGATTTAAAAACAAGCTTAAATTATTTCTACAGACATGATTGCTATCCCAGATTTCTCCTCTGGAGCCATGGAAAATTGGGGTCTTATAACATACAGGTAATTCATAATATTGCTTGTTATAAGGGCATAAGAGAGACACAAATTTATTTTTAAAATCCATCTATTTCTATGGCATGTTTTCCAATTGTTGATAAAACTTTTAGTTTTCCAAAATAGATACTTAGAACATGGTTTATAATGGATTAAAATAAAAAAGTTGAAGAAAAAAATCCCCTAATAATGTCATGATTTTATTAGGAACCAATTTTCCAATAATAATTGTTGCCTATGTCTTACTTAAGAAGATTTCAATATTATCAAACCCCTGCAATAGTTATATTTACTAAACGGGCAGTTTGTCTGGCTCCGAGTTGCCCAGGGGATCAGCGCTACTCTAGGGTATACCTTCGTCCTTCCGTCCACTCTGGATGATGACAAGCAATAAAACATTAGTTTGCAAAAAACACAGTTCCTTATTTACACGATCCTATCAGCCACACAGGAACTACAAGTTCACAAAACATCCAGTAAAATCCTCACTGCTCTGACACTAACACTACTGTGGACACTGCCACTGACAAACGAGCTCTTGCACTATGGCAGTAAGACACTTGAGAAATCTCAACCTCACTGCACTCTAACGATAACTTAACATAGTGACTCCCACCCTGTGTACACATCACTTGTTTGTTGACCTTGCAATACCTGACCAATCAGAAGTGGCCCTCACAAAACTATTCCCCAACTTATGATCAGCAGAACTTAGCATACACCACCCGACCATCCTCACAGACCAGTTCATAAAATTATGTTGTTACTAAAACAAAGCTAATCCCTAACAATATTATGATGATACAATTAAAATTTCCCCTGATAATTTAATGCTGTTTTTTTAAGAACAATTTCAGCTGATTTTTAATGTCATCACTATGAACTATTTTACCCAATTATTTTATGAATCATTTTATCTGAAAATTTCATGTTAATACAAACAATTTTTTAGCTAATAATTTTATGACCTTAATATGAATAACTTTTCCTTTATGTCATGATCATCCTGAGAACAAGTCCACCTTTTGTAGTTAGCTATCACAATCATTGTTTGCTTCCAAAAAAAAAAAAAAGGGAGACCTCAATGTTATACCAAGAAGGTGTCAGCAGTGAAGCTAACAAAGAGAGAGTCGCTGTTATTGTGTCACATGAACTTGCCCACCAGGTATTGATAAGCTGACAATTGCAGGGCAAAGTTTATTAATACAAATTACAGATTTGATGTCTGATGAGTTGTTAAATATACTCTTGTGATGTTCGAGGAATTATGGCAAGGAAAATAAAAATTGTAGGATGCAGAAAAAGGCATAACTACTTCATTTGTGTTGATGATATGGTTATTAAATAGTTTTTAAATCAAGGATTTAACAAAAATATATATATCGTGAGAATGGAAGTAACATATCTAATTAAAGATTGAAATTGACTTTTTTTTAAACTGGTGATTGTTTATTAATAGCCTTATATTAATAGACTTAAGATAAAATAAGACTCTTTTATTGATCAAAATAAATGGAAATTTGTTACATTACAGTGTACATTTTCATTGTCTGCTCTACAAATAAATGTGCAGAAAGATTACATTCTAATTAAGGGAAAAATTTTAAACCCTTATGATAAGCTATCTCCGCCATTAAATGCACTAAATCAACTCATCATAGAAATGTCTTTAACATTGCTCCAATATCTGTTTGCAGACGTTAGCAAAAAGCTCAAAACATTTCCTGTTTTTTTCTCTATTTTGAAAAAAAAAAAAGCTTTTTAAAAAATAAAATATTTTTTACACTTCCTGTCCTTGTCCTCAGTGGTTTGGGAATCTTGTCAGTCCTGCTTGGTGGGATGACCTTTGGCTCAATGAAGGTTTTGCATCATTTGTGGAGTTTTTGGGTGTCGACTTTGTGCATCCAGAATGGAATATGGTTAGTAGGGCAAAATCTTCAGATGATCTTAGATGATCTTTGTGCTTAGTTTATTAGGATTGCCACTATTTTGCAGATTTCGCAATAATTTAAAGTTATTTTTATGTGATTAAAAAATAAAAATAACATTGCTCAGTTATTTGATAGGATTTAATAGCAGTTTTGCTTTTAGTGGCTGGGATAGGCCTATATGTTTTTGAAAGAATAAAAAGCAATAAATGCTTACTATATGTCTTGGGCTACTAATGGTTCCTGAGATTTATTGTAAAAAAAAATACACAACTATCTGCTACCCTTTAACTACACAAATAAAGGGAGTTAATAATATTCTTGTTATGAAGCGTTTTGAGCCTCACAGAACTTACCACAAATTAATCATAATTGTTCTTGGTAATTATTCTCAAGCCTTAATATTTAGAAATTACAAGAAATAATTTATTGTTCTTATTTTGTTTTCCAGTTTGACAAGTTTGTCATTGACCAGCTTCAGAATGCCCTGTCTTATGACGGCCTGATTTCTTCTCACCCACTGTACGTTCCTGTTTCTCATCCTGATGAAATTAATGAAATCTTTGACACCATATCCTATGCCAAGGTTAGTTTTGGGGATAGCGATAAACTCTCATAAAATCTGGATGGACTGTGCTAGACCTTACTGTTTAATGGGGAGATAAGCAGTGGAGGGGCAAAATAGTAATCCGCCTTTTTTTTTTCCAGCAGAAAAATAATCAGAACGTTCAAGAACTCTTATCCGATAATGAGTGGGTAGCTAGGCTGTCATACGTGCAGACATTTTTTGCTTTTAAATGAACTAAACTTATCCTTGCAATAACAACTAAAGGACTACGAGTTAAAATGGATGCTTTTGAAAAGAAAATATTACTGGCGCAACAGAGGCTGGCTGAAGAATATCTGCAAATGTTTTCAAATTTATTTTGATGAATATATAAGAGAAACGAGGTCAGCCTGCTAGTGTTAACTAATGTTCAACAGAACTTGCATTCACTGACAGAATCTTTTGGTCGTGATTACCTTGATGAAAGAAGATCCCAGACCTGGTTATATGTGAATAATAGAGTCACCTGAATCAAACCTTGAAGATGGTAATTAAGGCATTAATTGAAAATAAAGACTCATCAATCTCTCATCCGACAGCATTCTCAATGTTAAATTCCAGGCATCCTGATCAATTCCTCAATTGTTTACTCTTCATAAATTGTGAAGACCCATTGATGAGTGGAAAAGCAATTAAAATTTTGATTCAATTTACAGCAACGTATTTGTGCAAAAAGATATTTTCATCTGTCACAGAAATTAAAACTCACCACTGGTATAGGCTTGAAAGAAATATGTCACTCTGTCTTGCAGTAATGTCAGTGGAGGAGAAAACTCCATTAACTTCTTTCAAACAAGCTGGAACAAATATCAAAACTTAAACGTATAATGCCGTATTTATTGGCGTATAACACGCCCCCGCGTATAACACGCACCTCAATTTAAGAAGGAAATTTCAGGAAAAAAAACTAAACTTTATATGGGCATATAACACGCACACATGATTTGCCCTCTATTTTCGGGGAGAAAAAGTGCATATTATACGCCAATAAATACGGTACTTTAAATAAGCTTCAATTATTTCGTAATAATGAAACTTACATTAATAATTTTGATACAATAAATTAAACAACTTTTAAAAATTTTGTTATAATTAAATAAGCATTCATAATTTTTTAAATTGAACAGCCGCATTTCATAATAATAATGGAATTTTCTGATCATTAACTTTCAAATTTATTTATCTTTTAAAAATTCACATTAGTGCTCTGCAGGATAAAAAAAATGAATTTAGTGTTCCGTGAGGTCGGAGACCACCGCTTTAAAGAAAGCAAGTGGCTAAAATAGCAAATGCCCAAGAACATCTTGTTTTTGTCTTACGCTACTACTTTCCTATTATTTCATAGTCTTTCTGCTACATAATATTTACTGTATTAATATGGCGAGAGAATGTTGTGTTTCCTGTGTGGAAATGGCTTCTGATTTCCCCATGTTTTATTTTCTAGGGAGCTTCAGTGGTAAGAATGTTAAGACACTTCCTGGGATATGACACGTTCAAGAAAGGAATGACAGTAAGATTCACTTATACTTCCTTAACTTGCTTAGATTATGCACACATTTTATATGTGAAATCTGAAAGATCATGTTAAACAGGAAAGAAAAAAATAAATCGTCCTGATCAAATATATGTAGATAAAGGGAAAAAAACCCCATTCAAATGGCAATTAACCCATTGCTCCAGGCCAGGTTGTGCTTGCCAGAGCAACATGGAGAATTCAGAGGTACTAACAATGTGTCATAGATTTGAATTTATGATAATTTGATACCATATATTGTTATGCACAAAACTTTGCCAAACTTTAGGAATCGCTTAAACCATAATTTTTAAAATATTTTTTTCATCATCAAGATTTGCTAACTTGAAAACTATGATTAAAACAAAAGATATGGCTGCAATATTTAATAACATCTCAATCAGATAATACTTTCAATAATGATATGGCTGCAATATTTAATAACATTATTAACATCTCAATCAGATAATACTTCCAATAACGATATGCTGCAATATTTCATAACATCTCAATCAGATAATACTTCCAATAACGATATTGCTGAACTATTTAATAACTTCTCAATCAGATAATACTTCCAATAATGATATGGCTGCAATATTTCATAACATCTCAATCAGATCATACTTCCAATAACGATATGGCATAAACTTTAAAAGAAAATATCATTCATGTAAGTATTATTGATCTTTCACTGAGCTAAGGCATAGTCCAGCAGGAATTGGGCATCACAATCCACTGGGGGGCTAGAGCTCTTTTTTTGAGTAAGGACCAAAGACTGTTGCTTTGAAAAAAATGTTTAATTTCTCCCAAATGTTTATCTTTCTTGTTTTATTTTTAAAACTGAAATCTTTGTTAAAATCTAGTTCCAACCTTGTTTCAGAGATATCTAAAAGGATTAGAGTATGGTGCAGCTTTTCATGATGACCTTTGGAATGCTCTGAATCAGGTACATTTGTATATTGTTTCTTTCTTATAAAAATATAAATAAGAAATATTCTGGAAGTAAATTTTCATGCTCTACAGCTAAAAATATAATTTTAAAACGTACAGTCAGTTAGGTCATACATGAGTTAACTTTGATTAACAATAAATTGATTTAGCATGGACTAAATTTCATACTAAATAAGAGAGTGAATAAATTATATAAGCGTAACTGCAAATTGTAAATAAATTTTAAAAATCTAGTATTATACTTGATTTTCCTTAAATAATGTAAGCTGAAAGAATTGATCGAAGTTGCCAAGTATTCTTTGAAATCCTAGCAAGCACGAGAGGATGGAAAGAACATCCAGGTGAAGGCCATCATGGACACTTGGACACTTCAGATGAACTTTCCCTTGGTAACTGTGACAAGATTATTCTCTAGTGCGGACACTGTCGTTGTATCTCAGGAGAGATATCTGGAGGATCGGGATGCACCTGAGCTGGGACAGTTTGTGTCTCCGTTCAAGTATGTTTCCATACAACAGGAATATATGTTGGGAATAAATCTTTAGCACATAAATGTATGTTGGGAATAAATCTTTAGCACATAAATATATGTTGGCTATATTTCTTTCCTTCCTGAAGAATGAACATTATTTATTAATAAATTGAATTTGATAATTCTAGTTTTGAAACAAACTATTGTAGGAAAATTATGAATACAGTTTTAAGTGATAAAATAATGATTCTTTTATGAAATAATCATAAAATGATACTTGGTAGAGATTGTGCTTGTCCAGCTGTATCATTGTTTGTATTGTTCACTTTTATGTAGAAACATTTCACAGCAAAAAATTAATTTATTCACAAATTCCTCACTATAGAGAGTAAATACTATTTAATTTATTCATCTATCTAAGTGTTGGTATATTATGAACCATACATAATAGTAATTAAAGAGGGTTACAACAAAATTAAGCGTTAAAGTCTTAGATATCTTATGTGTCTTTCAATCCACAACTAAAAGTTAAAAATATTTTTTGATATCATTAATATAAACCTTATCTTGCAGCCATGTGCGGTAAAAATATCTTTTAAGGAATTATATTTTATCACAACTTAAAACACAGCCTAATAATTGTGTATCATCTTGACTTGTGTTTACAATCCACAGCTACACATGGACCATTCCAATTACATTCACCACCAGCAACAACCCAATCTTCAATCAGACGGACAGAGATGTTCAATGGCTGACTAGATTTGAGAGATTCAGTAAGTCATTATAAACCTGACTTGTCCAAATACCTTTAGGGCTGCTAACTGTGACCATGAAAAAGAATTTTCTCAAAAGTTAAAAATGGAGGTTACAACCAAATTTCAAAACAAAAGTAGATTTCACACAATTCTTAGAGTATTCAATTTAAATTTAGAAACAACCTGGTTTGTCATTGAAATTCTATTTTATTTATGCAATACTCTACTTCAACTTTGATGCAATTAGAAACAAAGGTTCAACCATTTTCAAAGAAAATATTTATATAAAAATGGCAAGGCCTTAGAAAAACTATAAGAAAGTTTTTTTCTGTACAAGCCTTATAAAATAAATCATATAGTATGAGGTTTAGAAATGAGTGTATCATATTGGTTGATGGTAACACTATCTCACTGCTGTCTCAACCAGGGACTTTGACACTAGGAGTTGGAAATTTTCCAATTTACAATAAGACCAACAACACATTTGATCCCACCGCAACGGAGACCGACTGGATCCTTGCTAATATTGAACAGAATGGATATTACAGAGTCAACTATCAGTTGTCCAATTGGAGGGCACTAGCCCTTCAGCTCAAGGCTGACCACCAGGTGAATTATGTGCTCTTCCTGGTTATATTTTCAGTAATAAGACAGACAAGCAATGAAGTTTAATGGTGTTTATTTTAAATTAGTTAACACTGTAAATAAATGTAAAGTAAAATTTTAACAAATTGTTTATTGCATAGATATTTTTTTGCAGAGGTTCAGGACGCTACTAATGACCTGTAGTTAAAACTGAAAAAAATCATATTTTTTTGATAATTGAAAAAAGAAACAGGCTCATTTGCCACTGACTTACTTAATGCCATTAACTCTTTGACTCCCTTGAGCTGCCTGAACTGGCTCACTGATTTTCAATTTCTGTCCCATAAGCCGACTTCTACGGCTCGCGATTTAATAATAATTTTGTAAAAAGATGAAAGGGATTGGTTTCACCTTGCTGTGTTTGTTGAGCCCATTTGCTTGTGATTCCATAAGCTGTTTCATGTTTACAGCTAATTTAATTTATTTTGTATAGAATTTTTTAGTGTTTGTTTTCTGATTGAGCCAAGCGGCTCAGGCTCAAGGAACATGCCCCTATTAGAGATTTACTACTGGTGAAGCTCTAGAATTAATTCAGATATTGCATTGATAAAAGAAATAATTAGTTTTACACCTTAGGCCTCTGAATAAGAAAAATGTCAACAACCATATGTTGAAAGTTGGTGAACTAATGTATTATCCGGGACCTTCAGGAAAAGGGGCATTGCCTTGAGATAAAGGTTGAACACATGCAAGCACATGCTAGATGATTAATTATACAATTTTTATAAAACTGCCAAACTTGAACTATTTACTGATTTTGAGACTGGCACTATCACTAGTGGTAAGGTTATAATGGAACAAGGTATGTGGAAGCTTGAAATATAAAGACAGGACAATAAATGAAGAATGTTTCGGAAAGCTCTTATCAAAGTGATTTCATAGAAAAGTACATTCAATTTCATTTCCATTTATATCCATCACTTGGGGCCTATCTCTTATATTAATCTCAGGATTTAAGTGATTACAGTGGTCTAGTTTTCATTCTTTATCTGAAAGTGCTTGGTAAAACAGTGGAAATAACACCCCCTCCACCCTCCCCTTTCCAGGAGTCAAAGATTTCAAATAAAATAAGGAATATTTAAAATTGTACATTTATTTGTGTACAAATTACAATTAACCAAGGCCAGGCCTATATTCAATCTTAAATTAAAAACATCAAAACACATTTTAAACATTTTTTTGCCCGTTTAAAAAAAAAAAGTAAAGTTTTAAATAAAATGAAAAAGATGTCATCGTTGATTAACTTAATAATCAAGTTTTCAAGACTTGAGGTAACAGGGAATTAGATGGGATTTTGATTATCAAATACATGTCATCACTCTTATAATGGAGAACTATTTTCTTTATCGCAAACAGGTGATACCAGTAATCAACAGAGCACAGCTTATCAATGACGTTTGGAACCTTGCCAAGTGAGGGAATATTAATAGGCCCTCTATAATCTTACACCCATGTCATATGAACCTTTTCATGTGGCAGAAAATGGTCAATAGAAGCTGTTCACACAAAAACTGCACGGTTATTTATACAATTATTTAAACATATAGTGAGCATTGCTTATAAAAGTCAATGCCACCTCTTTTAAAAAGAAAAAGTTCACCATAGTAATCCCTAATATAGGCTACATTTGTACATGATTAATAAGTTTATAGATTGGCCTAATAAAATACATTTTTAAGTCATTTTCTTTACATTACAAAAAATGTCCCTATTTCAAATGCACTAAAAAAATAATTAAATGCAGTAAACTACAATGTTAAACTATTATGTCTCACTTTGATGACTTAATATGTCAATTATACAAATATAAAATTATAAATTTATTATTGATTTATTAATTGTGTCAAGTATCTTTTAGTTTACTTGATAATTATTTATTAGTAATCATTAGTAAATATTTAAAATTGTAAGTACATACCTATTGGAACTTGTAAAGGGAGTATACACCAAAGTTTGATAGGGGAAAAACTTCTTCTGACATTTAATTCCTTTAGTATTGTGTAAAATTTCAGTTAACCCGAAAGTGTAATGATTTTTAAATACAAATATTCTTTCTATCAAAAATGATTATTTAAGCTTAATACTACTTCAGGCGTAATACTACTTCATGCTTAATACAACTTCAAGCATAATACTACTTCAAGCTTAATACTACTTGAAGCTTAAAAAAATATAATAAAAAATTCTGTAAACCAAAATAGTCAGGTCTTGTGGTTTCAACATGAATAACATTACAGGGCCAATTATCTTGGACTTGAGACAGCTTTTATGATGATCGACTACCTTGACAGTGAACGTGAGTATGTCCCATGGGCTGCTGCACGCCGTGAGCTGGCGTATGTTACCAGGATGTTGTCAAATAGTAGAATAAATGAGACCTTCCAGGTGAGGACATTTATGCCTATCATCAAAACTTGTTGTGCAAGTGGTATATTTTCTATCTGTTTTCTTACTTTTTTAAATTTCATTTTATTTTATTATCTTATTTTTTTTAATTTCCAGCCACATAATCTTGTTACTGTAGAATTAAAAAAAACATGAAAAATTTCATACCCGCGCTATCAGATCTACTTTTTTAAAATAATGAGCGATAGAAAAAAAACAACCTGACAATGTTGAAACTTCTATATTACAGAAATTCATGCAGAGCAAAGTCAATGAGTCCTACAATTACTTTGGATTAAACAACACTGGAGCCAGCCATAATGATGTGTGAGTTTCCCGATCAGCTCATGTATAACACAAACAGACTGTAACAATATTATTGGCCCCTATCTTCACATCTTCTGACAGATTTAAATGACAAGTGGGTTGGTGGCTTTCCAATTCATCTTCATCTTTGCAGTTACAAAAAAACAACAAAAAAACAACAACAAAAAAAACAACAAACAAAACAACAAAACAAACCAAAAAACTGGCCATCTTCATGAAACTTTGATGTAGTTTTTGTTGTAGGCCTGCAGGGTGCCATCTGGAATGATACATGAGATTGAGAAGAAACTGAGAAAAAAATATATCAAGTGTCTAGGGAGCAATTTGGGGCAGGTGGTAGTTGTGGGTTGTACTCATTTACTGTGGGAATTATCCCAATGGGGACTGGGCCATCTTTCTATTTTTTAAAAAAAAATTATCTCCCTGTTTGATGCAGAGGAATTTCCTTGTTAATTTACCTTATCTGCCTCTCTTAAACTCAACACAAGCTCAAGTCCTACAACCATGATATAAACATTGTAATAAATGGTGACAGTACTATAACTAAGAATTTTAATAGGGTCGGACTGCTATAATACCTTAGATAGATTAAGAAGATACCCTACAAACCATTTGTGTAAGTAAAACATTAGAGTTAAGCTTTAATTATGGGATACGATTTATTCCTTTAATTAAAAGTGCAGCCATACTACACTGTTTTATTTAAAAGATAAATAAATGTTTTGCTTTTAAATGCAGCCAATAACTGCCATTCATTTAGAGATACCAAAAGCATACAGTCCTCTTGATTCGTCCTTCCGTCACTGGTCCTCATTATTAATGTCCAAACATCTCGAGCAGTGTGAGAGTTACGTGTCATGTTTATGTAAACATTGCCACCTTTACAGGTCAGCTCGTGGACTTTTTGCCAGTGAGGCTTGCAAGTATGATATCCAAGCCTGCATGGACACAGCCCGCACACAGTTCCAGCAGTGGATGAATAATCCCAGTAATAATCCGTAGGTGTCTTGAAGTTTCTTAATTTTTAACACTTTACCCTGGTGGCTCGCAGCTGATGTCGTTCATATTAGTGCAATAAGTAGCCAGGTGCAATAAGTAACCAGGGCTGGCTTTTCACTTGGCACGCAGTGTTTGAAAAATTACTTCAATAATGTCTTCAAAATTGTCATGGGTTCAAAATTTTAAGTTTATCAGAATATTTTTGTATTTTTCTGTTCCCAAACGCTTATGTTTTTAATTAAATGCAGAAAATGTATATGTATAAAAATGTACCAAAAAATGAATTTCCATGTTTTGGATCAATAAAAAGAATCTTAATCATAAATGAGACAGGAAAAAATTGCAAGCTCAAAGTCATAACAATTTGGAATGCTATATTATTGATTCTTATTATAAACTACCCTTACCCTGCAAAACAAGGATGGTAGCAAAACATGAATTTCCCAATCTACTAAAGTTATGTCACAAAATACGCATTCAAGGAACACACTTTATAAGATTCCTACTTAGTGCTACTTCCCCACTCCCCTGAACTTTATTCATTTTCTATTGTCCCACCCCGTTTACACCTGCAGATTTATAACACCCAACTATTTCCATGAAACAAAAGAAAAGCACTCTTGCTGTCTTGTGTCAAACCGTATTGCTCTAACGCTAACCATTTTACATGTAACTTATGTCACAGTAGAGACAAAGAGAAACACTGCATTTCGTATTACAGTATCTGAAAATGCTCATTAGATATAAAAAAAATGAACCGTTTCAGTTTAACTTCACCTCATTTGCATTGCAGTGCTGTAGAAGTATCTTTTTTTTGCACCACAGAATCTCCAGATAGTAAGAGTTTTTAGACACAATGTCAGATCACCCCTTCCATTATTCATCAATGTCATAGTTCATCGTCATAATCATCCTCTCAAATCCAGCAACCACTGGGGGTGGTGCCCTATAGCCCCAATCCAGCAACCTACGGGGGTAGTGCCCTATAGCCCCAATCCAGCAACCTACGGCGGTAGTGCCCTATAGCCCCAATCCAGCAACCACCAGGGGTAGTGCCCTATAGCCCCAATCCAGCAACCACCTGGGGTAGTGCCCTATAGCCCCAATCCAGCACCACCTGGGGTAGTGTTTTATAGCCCCAATCCAGCAACCACCGGGGGTAGTGCCCTATAGCCCCAATCCAGCAACCACCTGGGTTAGTGCCCTATAGCCCCAATCCAGCAACCACCAGGGGTAGTGCCATATAGCCCCAATCCAGCAACCTACGGGGGTAGTGCCCTATAGCCCCAATCCAGCAACCACCTGGGGTAGTGCCCTTAAGCCCCAATCCAGCAACCACCTGGGCTAGTGCCCTTTTGCCTACTTACCGTTAGTCTAGTGCCCTTTGGTCTATCACTTAGGTCAAGCCAGTTAAGTTTATCTACCCTTTGGCCATTTAATTAAAAAAAATTGGTTTTGATTTTTCATTAATATATTTTCAACTTTATCTTTTTAAAACTGACAAATCAATTTCAGGATTGACCCCAACCTCAGAGGAACAGTTTACTGCTACGGCATAGCAGCTGGCGGGGATACAGAATGGAACTTTGGGTTAGAGGTTAGTGACATTTGTTTCTCCCTCAAGTCCATGGGATTGTTTGTTGTTATGTTGTTCCTTAAGGCACACTTTAAGCTGATTGTTTAGGACAGTGGTTCTCAACCTTCCTAATGCAGCGACCCTGTAATACAGTTCCTCATGTTGTGGTGACCCCCAGCCACAAAATTATTTTCGTTGCTACTTCATTACTGTAGAGCATATGTGTTTCAGATGGGAAAGGGTCTTGAGAACCCCCAAAGGGGTCGCGACCCACAGGTTGAGAACCGCTGGTTTAGGATATACATTTTTTTGTGAGAAAAAAAAAAGATAGTGCTTTGATAATACTATAAGAAACTCATACAATATCAACTCTTTTATTATTTCTATAACAAGTTGCTCATTAATTAAATAACAGCTGTTCACTATTTCTATAACAAATTGTTCACTAAAAACCAGTGGTTTTGTTACCTTAGTTTACCTTGCATTACACTATAACTAATTACTAAAATTCTTCAACACATCTCATGTATGTATCTAGGAAATATTGTCACTGTCTGTAATGATAAGCCTCAAGGTGAATAGACATTTTAATATTATACTAGTGCATGATATTATGTGTTCCCCATTATTTTAATACAATGTGTCCATTGCTTATCTCCAGATGTACAGAACCATTGAGTCAGCATCAGAAAAGTCCAACCTTCTCAATGCGTTGTCATGTTCTAAGAGCCCAGAGACACTGAACAAGTATGAGTTTAATATTTTACTCACAACCTGTTTCACCCTGTTTCAAAACACATTTTTAGAAGGTGCATTTTATAGCAATTATTTGGTCACCTAGTCACATTTGTTTTTCACTCAATCTACTGAGTCACACGCATGCTGACAACAACTGCTACCAAATCAGGATTGTATTTCTAAGGTTTGATCAATTTTAAGTAATTTCAAGTTCAGATAGTTGCAGCATGGTAAATGGAAATCCTAGTTGTCTGTGATGAAGAGTGTGAAATGTATCATCCATGGAATTTCACCCTGCCAAGTGCCAGACACTATCAGTCTCTAGAAGTTGTACTCCTCTATACTACCAAGTTTCCTCCGTAAAGTACCTGGGTGTTACCATTCAAAGAGACGTCCGCTGGGACGAGCATATTAACAATGTATGTAACCAATCAAACAAGGCCCTAGGGTTCTTAAGGCGAAATCTAAAGATTGGCGACTCCTGTGTGAAAGAAAGAGCATATAAAGCCTTTATCCGTCCGATTTTAGATTATGCATCTGCAGTCTGGGACCCATTTACCCAGAAGAGCATTGACAGGTTGGAGGCGGTCCAGCGATGAGCCGCACGCTTTGTCCTGCACCGCTACAGGAATACCTCTAGCATGCTGGAAACACTAGGCTGGTCACCATTGGAGAAACGACGACGACAATCCAGGCTCTCCATGATGTGCAAGATAAATAATGGGCTTGTCCACTGTTCCGGCATTAAACAGAAACTCGTCCCTCTCCCCCATAGACAGCGACGAGGCCATGACAGGCAATTCAGGCTCATACTCATACCAGCAAGAAGCCAGTATAGGAGCTGCTCATTCGTGCCCAAGACAATCAGGGACTGGAACAATCTTTCAAAAGGAACAGTTGAGGCGACAACACTAGACACATTTGTGTCTATTGGCTCAAGCCTTCAAACGCCTAGTGCATGATTTGCTCACAAAGTGGCACTGGAAATCTGTGAAATTTCCTCATCAACACCAGGAACAGAAACATTGCAAATCTCATCTACATGCATAGGAGCCAAAATGATCAATAAATTGATCGTGGGCCCTTAAGATATAGAAGAAGAAGAAATAACATTTTGGTGTATTAAATTAACATATAGGTGTATTGAAAATAACATGTAAGTATAATGAAATAGCATGTGGGTAGGTATATACGAAAGATGCTTTTATTGATCCAAATAAATGGAAATGATTTTTTGATTAAATTGTACATATTTATTTTCAACGCATAAATAAATACATATTTTAACCAACATTTTACAATTAGAAAAATTTAAAGTCAAGACATCTAAATTATTTCTCTAGCGCAAAATTCAGCATCATGTACTAGAATGAAAAAAACTTTCTTAATGACAATGACTTAAATTAATGACCATTTACGTATTGTAACCACTGGGGGGGGAGCACTCTGGTAAATTCGTACAGGCTAACGTTAAGGGAAAGAATTCCAGCTAATCCTAGTTGTCTGTGATGAAGAGTGTGAAATGTATCATCCAAATGTTTTTTTTTAGTTTTACTCATGGGTAGGTATATTGAAACCGAGCAATTTGGTAAGGTAACTTTAAAATACAACAAAAAAAATTGAAAAGTATAAAGAATATAATGCGCTGGGTAGATAGGTATATGCCAGGGCCCAAAAGACTAGACCAAATAATATGCATATGGCAGAAAGTTAAAACACAAAATAGGTAGATTCCACCCACAGGGTACTGTTTAGGTTAAAATTTTAAAAAATGACCAAATATAAAGACTATAACATGCTGGGTAGATGAGGAGAATACCAATGCCCAATAGGCTAAACCAAATAGTATGCGTATCCCAGAAATTTAAAACCCAAAATGGGTGGATCCATGGGATACAGTGAAAGTTAAAATTTAAAAAAAAACAAAGGCTATAGAGAAAAGACTAAGACTACTGTGTATATAAAATAGCTCTAACGCCAATCATTAACTCTTATGCCAACCATTTAGCTCAAACGCCAACTATATAGCTCTAACGCCAATCATTTTACATGTAATTTATGTCACAGTAGAGACAAAGAGAAACACTGCATTCATATTGGAAGTAAATTTACTTTGAATTAAACCAGCACCATGTCCATATTCCAGTTACATGGCGCTTATCTTAACCAATGACCCACCAATCAGGAGACAGGATGCTCTTAGCGTGATCAGGTTTGTTGCATCCAATACTGTTGGTCGCTTGTTGGCCTGGGACTTTTTCACAACAAATTTCATGGAGATTAAAACAAGGTCAGTCACTTACAAATATTTCATACATTCATTGCTGAGGAATTCCTTCGGTAAAACTTTGTTTACCTAAATGTGCTAGAAGCTATTGTTTATTTTAAAAGAAGGAAACTCATGTGAAAACATTCACTTAAATATTGATATAATTATTTTTTTTATAATTTTGTAATACTTTCTCTTTTTTTTTTAGTGCCACACCCAAAATAATAATAATTTTTAAACCTATTCACATTATAAAATTATATGAAAGCCCCTTCAATCCCCCCCCCCCTCCTTTTTTTTCGATTAAAGCATTGGTTTTAGTAGGTCAAGAAGAAAAACAAGTCACAAAAACAAAAGATTACAGGTTGTGTTTGTGAATTTGTACTCATGCAATGACAAGCCATTTAATTTTTCTCCTAAAAGGTATGAAAGTGCACTTTTTGCTTGGATAAGTCTGATGGATGGAGTCACTAGGGCCCTGAACACAGCATCTGAACTTGAACAGGTTAGTTACAGCTTTTTATATGTGTACATTTATGAAGTGGTCTATTAGGTTTCCATGGTATCACCATATAATAAATATTTATCATTAAATTAAAAAAAAAAAAAAGCCAAAGAAGATTAACTCTTCATTATAATTTTAAAAAGGGAGCGTGAGCCATTCAGAACCGAGGTGCTAGCCACAACTGGCTCCCGAGCCATAGTTTGCCCTCCCCTGACCGAGGTAGTTGTAAGATAAGGGTTCTTCATGACAACAGTAGACAATGAAAGAGTTGAGGGGTCGGCAGACAGTTATAAGAGGCACTACCACTTCTCAGGCCTACAAGTGCAAGGCCATTAATTTAATGCCATAATGTCATTTAGAAATCCCTTGACCAGTACTGGACACCCATTTCATAATTCTTCTGTACGCACAGGTCAAAGAATTTTACACAAGACAAGAGGGTAACTTTGGAACTGGAGAGAGGGCCTTCCAGCAGGCCATTGAAAAGGTCACTACAAATGTCAACTGGATGACAAAGAATGAGCCTGTCATAGAAACTTGGCTACGTGTTGCAGGTTATCATGAGTCAAGATAACACGTCTCACTGCTGTGTTTTTTTGTTTTTTTTCAGTACTTAAAAAATAATAATTCAGAAATCCATTTTTAAAAAATCACTTGGGAAGATATGGGCTTCTACGTTTTTGCTTTGAATTTTTTTTTTTCAATAGGGTTTCTTAAAAACATGATATTCTTTTGTCAAAGAATGAAAAAAAAAGAAGTGACAGTGCTTAGAGTTAGGTATTAAACAATTAATGTTGTTGGCAATGTGTGTTCCAAAGTCTAGAACTATGTGCACATTAACATCGTTTTTGTCAAAGAAAGAAACACAAGATCTCCATGGAAAATTATTGTGATTTAGTCTGTTTCTTTTAAATATATGAAAAGTGAAATTAATTTTTCTAGCACTGATTGTCTTTTTACAGTTGCATGGACACATTTCGAGGTACAACGTATAGAGTTAAATATAAATAGACAGTACGTTTTTAATATTTATCAATTAAGTTAACTCTTTTTTTTTTTTTGTACAGGAATAGATGATGCAATGTATTTGTATTTTAAATTAACTCATTATGCAAGAGAATGAATCTATTTGTAGTTTTTAAATGAAAATTATTAATTAGATCATTTTCTTTCTGAATCAAAAGTAAGATTTTCTGTTTAAACATTACAATATGCTAATTAATGATTTGTGACCTTTGATAAGCTAATCAGATGGTTTATATATATGTATGTGTGTATGTATATATATATATATAAATATATATATATATAGGCTACATATAATAAAAATAATAATAATAATAATAAAGTTTATTTCAAAAACACGCTTCATCCCCAAAGGCTCAAAGCGCAGTACAAAGTCAACAAAAAACAAATCTATAATTTACCACATTTAAAACAAACACAACACTACAAATACTAATTACAAGCATACCAAGTCAAAGTCTTTGTAGCCATTTCAACCCTAAGCAACACAGCCAATATGCATTAACTGGAAAATATGGTAGACAATCATCCCAAAATGTGTTTGCGAAATAGATGTGTCTTTTTTTTTGTATGCTAATTTTGTCATCTAAATACTTTTCCAGTTAACATTTTAAAAGAATGTTATTTCATTTAAATCTACCGGTACTATTACTCATTTGAAATTAAATATTTTTGTAAATAAATTCTAAATGCTGTTTTTATTTTTTTTTTAAATTTATTTACCATTTGGGGCTATTTAGTTCCACACCACTTGATCTAATATTACAGGTTTTTATGTCATTGAAAGTGCACCCATCAATGTTAGATAATTCGTATCCTAATCTAGGGTCCAAAAGAGCAACAAAAGTTATCTACAGGTAGAAACCCAGGGCCAGGCGGTTCAACTGGTCGAACAAGTCCGAGGTGGATTGACGATGGACTTACACCAGCTGGGGGTTGGCGCATGGAGGTTGAAAGCCAAGGATCGATCCCAATGGAAGGATGTGGTGGAACAGGCCAGAGCCCCACTTGGGCTGTAGGGCAACTGATAAGGATGATACTTATTTTTTCGGAGCTTACTCAGGAATTCAGGAATGGTTTCCTAGGTTACATGAATGTGATTGGTGGGAACTTTATTACCAAACACACTTTAATAATCTCAGTTAAAATGTGAGGCAGTCCAATTGTTTGCACGGAATTAGGGGGTAGAAGTTTCCTCCCGACGTTTTTCATTTGATTAGCAGGATCTCAAAGTAGTTACACTGACCTTGAATTTGGTCATTTGATTAGCAGGATCTCGAAGTAGTTACACTGACCCTGATTTTATTTATTTGATTAGCAGGATCTCAAATTAATTACACTGACCCTGAATTTGTTCATTTGATTGGTGGAATCTCAAGCTAATTACATTGACTCATATTCTCACAAAAATATCAGAGATCGCCTGGATAAGTGGTTCTCAAACTGCTTTATTTATTTTATTTTATTTTTTGCACTGACTGCCACATGTCTACATGACTTCACCTTGTCTCGCCCCGTTTTATCAGTTCTTTGTGTAAAAGCTTCAGGACTTCTCACTTCTAAGGCAGATAAAACACAAAAATTGTAGAGCTGTGACATATTTTTGAATGACAATTCAAATGAAACATTCAACATTAACAAATTAGAAGAAGAAAGAAAATATAACCACTGATGTTTCCTGAAACTTAATCTGCAAACACCTTTTTGATAGAGGAAGAGTTGGCTGACTGCACATTAGTAGATAAAGAAATTTCTTATCTTATACACAACATTATCTGCAAGGCAACTCTGACAGGCACAGTGAGTGTGTGCTCAATTGAAGATTTTAAACTTGAAACAAAGATGAGTTAATTTTTAAAAAAAATGTTTTTAAAATGGCGGTTACATCATCTTTAAATTGTGTTGAAGTTAAAAACAAATGAAAAAAAAAGAAGATTACTGGTATCAAACATTTGAACATTTGATAATATCGTTCCGTGGTAACTAAAAAAGGTGCGTTAAAAAAAAAAAAAATTATTATTCACAACTTTTCAGAATCAATTATGTTTAAACTTTACAAAAAAACAACTCTTCCGACATATTCATAGACAAATTTTGAACATTGACAGATTTACAAGAAATTGCAAATGGCGTGGGGGGGGTGGTGTTAGAGTAGGTAATTATCTTATGTTATGTCTTTGCGGACTTGTTTAGCAGGAATTTTAGTTGATTAAAACTAAAGCTATTCAATATTTTATCTTCAAAGTTTCTTACCTCTTACTACTTTGATTTTCACACTGTAATTTTTGTCAATTGATTTTAATAGCATTATTTAATATTTACGGCACGGTCTCTACAATTTTTTTAGCGGTTGACTTAAATTTTTTTTTTTAATAAATAGAATATTAGTAGATATATGGGCGTAACTCTACTTCATCAAGTCTCATTTTTTGGTTTTATTATTTAGTAATTCTTAGAGTAATTATTTCCCCAAATAAAAATATAAAATAGAATAAGAAAAATAACAACACAGGTTTAAAAAAAATGGAGTTGATTATTTTTAAAAAGCAGACATTTCAGGAATGTACTTCGGGGCTGTCCATGAAGTAGGTCACACTGCCAAGTGTGTGTGTGGGGTGGGGGGGGGGGTTCCAAGAAAGTGAGACCGTTTTTTTTTTGGGGGGGGGGGGTTGGGGTGGGGGTAAAGATCTTGCTTGAGTGTCGTAACACTTAACATCATACACATTAAATGTGAACTTGAAAGAGAATTTGAACTTTCTGTTGTGATGGATGTATTCTGACAGAAGATTTCACTTTTAAACATTTATAGTGTGATAGTTAGTGTGATTGAGATACAATTTGAAATACTTGTAACTATTTTAAACATTAAAAGAAATGCTAGTCTAATTTACTTCTTTGAAGGTAGGGCGGGGAGGGGGGGGGCCGTCAAAAAAGTTGGTCACGCTATTTTCCAATCTTCTATTTTACAGTACGTCACAAATCTCAGCTCCCCCCCCCCTCTAATGACACCCAGCTCTGGTGACACCCAGCTCTGGTGACACCCAGCTCTGGTGACACCCAGCTCTGGTGACACTCATCTCTGGTGACACCCAGCACTGGTGACTACCAGCTTTGGTGACACCCAGCTCTGGTGACACCCAGCTCTGGTGACACTCATCTCTGGTGACACCCAGCTCTGGTGACACCCAGCTCTGGTGACACCCAGCTCTGGTGACACCCAGCTCTGGTGACACCCAGCTCTGGTGACACCCAGCTCTGGTGACACCCAGCTCTGGTGACACCCAAGCTCTGGTGACACCCAGTTCTGGTGACACCCAGCTCTGGTGACCCCCAGTTCTGGTGACACCAAGCTCTGGTGACACCCAGCTCTGGTGACACCCAGCTCTGGTGACACCCAGCTCTGGTGACACCCAGTTCTGGTGACACCCAGCTCTGGTGACACCCAGCTCTGGTGACTACCAGCTTTGGTGACACCCAGCTCTGGTGACACCCAGCTCTGGCGGAGCCCTACTCTCGTAGCTCCCTTGTCCTCAAGGCATCCTGCTTCGGTGGCACCATTCTCTTAGATCTGTTATGCAACCGACTTATTGAACTCTGACAAATTGTCCATTTGGCCGCCCACCCCAAACTTTGAGAGCGTCACCAGGGGTGGGGGGGGGGCGCACTCCCACTCCCAAGTGGTGATACTGCTTATACTCAAACCGTAAAGATATTCCAGTTCTGTCAAACGGCTAACAAAGAATGCAACTGCCTTTTGCAGCAACCTTTCTTTCCAACAACCTGTCTCTGCAACAACCTGTCTTTGCAACAACCTATCTTTGCAACAACCTATCTTTGCAAAAACCTGTCTTTGCAAACAAGTATTTTTGTTCTTTAATAACTTAACAAACAAAGCATGGAAGTCGTAGGATAAACCCTAAATTCAGTATCCAAATTACACTGATATATATATATATATATATATATATATATATATATAAAAACATCAATTTTGATGTGAGTGTACTTAAAAAAAAACACATTTCAAACTTTGACGTGAAAATTTTCTTCAATACTGAATATTTTTAAACAACTTATTTTATATATTTTTTATATGTTTGTTCTTTAATAAATTAACAAACAAAGCATAGAAGTCGTAGGATAAAACATAAATTCAGTATATAAAATACACATATATATATATATATATATATATATATATATATATATATATAAAAGCATCAATTTTGATGTGAGTGTACTTAAAATGAAACACTTTTCAAACTTTGACGTGAAAATTTTCTTCAATACTGAATATTTTTAAACAACTTATTTTATCGAATTTTTGAATTTGGTACTTTTTATACAGTTTATTTATCGTATTGTATTCTCCCTTTCAATACATTAAATAAGCAATTTCAATTTCACTATTGATTACAAATTAGTGGGGTGGTAACATCGACGTAAACAATAATTACAATTTTGGGGTAATGGCTAAAAAACTTCGCCTACCCCTGGGGTTGATTGTTACAATATTAGTGCTGAACAGTCGTTAAACCTCTGATACACTTAGGTTTAAATAGGTTTGATCAACGTAACTGCTGTGTTGCCCGCCTCCAATCATTTGCTTTATTATTATTTCTTGGAGATAGGACTGAAAGTGTAAAATGTATGCCTTAAATAGGATTATCACGTTAACTCATTACAGGCACACACACACACACAAAATAGTTCAAGAGACAGAGTTACAAGGACAGAGTTCAAAAGACGGAGTTCGAAAGACAGACTTCAAAAGACAGAATTCAACATACAAGAGTTCATAAACAAAGCAGAAGTTTAAACTCTTACCTTATTTCAAGTTCGCTGAATTTGTCTGTCAAGAACTCCCAAGCCAGCGACCAGTTCCGAAAGGCAATATTTTTAAGGATATTTTTGGCATCACTGCTTTGCATGGAGTAATCTGGCTTCAAAATAAGGTCCAAGGTCCTGTCACAAGGTCAAACAAAATGACACAAGTATGGAGCAGAACTTTGTGACACAAGTATCGAGCAGAACTTTGTGACACAGATATCGAGCAGAACTTTGTGACTCAGGTATCGAGCAGAACTTTCTGACATAAGTATCGAGCAGAACTTTCTGACATAAGTATCGAGCATAACTTTGTGACACAGATATCGAGCAGAACTTTGTGACACAGGTATCGAGCAGAACTTTGTGACACAGGTATCGAGCAGAACTTTGTGACACAGGTATCGAGCAGAACTTTGTGACACAGCTATCGAGCAGAACTTTCTGACATAAGTATCGAGCAGAACTTTGTGACACAGGTATCGAGCAGAACTTTCTGACATAAGTGTCGAGCAGAACTTTGTGACACAGGTATCGAGCAGAACTTTGTGATACAGGTATCGAGCAGAACTTTGTGGCACAGGTATCGAGCAGAACTTTGTGAAAAAGATTTTTCTATTTTTGACCTTGAAGTTTGAATCCTCTGAAAGAGTTTTGTTATTAAAAATAAAACTTAGTAGAAAAGTTTGAAATCTGTTGGCTAGTGGCAAGATAAAGATGTGACGCAAGTTTTTGAGAGGTTTGGCTGGGAAGAATTTATTTGTATTATTAATTAATTATTTTAGGTTTGTGGCAATAAAGACCACCAATGAAACTTGAACCATCCATGCATCCATCCATCCATCCATCCATCCAT